AAGAAGAAGAAGAAGAAGAAGAAGAAGAAGAAGAAGAAGAAGAAGAAGAAGAACAACAACAACAACAACAACAACAACAACAACAACAGCCAACAGGCCAATCAACCAACCACAACGAATGTAACTGAATCATCAGCAGCAAAAAAACAAACATTTAATAAAAATGACAACAGCAACAACAACAACAACAACAACAACAACAACAACAACAACAACAACAACAGCCAACAGGCCAATCAACCAACCACAACGAATGTAACTGAATCATCAGCAGCAAAAAACCAAACATTTAATAAAAATGACAACAGCAACAACAACAACAACAACAACAACAACAACAACAACAACAACAACAACAATAAAACATCATCATCATCAGCAACAGCTGCATCAATAACAAAAACAATAACAACAACCAACCAACCAAGCCAGAAAGTAGCTGAATCATTATCAGCAGCAAAAACAACAATCACAACAACAATAACAACACACTACAACCAACAGCAACAACGACAACATGCAATACTGCAAAAACAACATCCAGCCAACCAACCAACCAAGCAAGCAACCACTACGGAGGTGAGTGACTGCCGTCTCGCGGGCTGAAATGTCGGAAGTCGGTGCCCCCAGTGGGCAGTTTTTGTTCTGTCACTAGCAACAACAACTTCTGAAACAACAACAGCAACACCAACAAGAACACCACCACCACCACCACAACCAACAACAGCAACACCAACAAGAACACCACCTCCACCACCACAACCAACAACAGCAACAACAGAACATCATTATCAACAACAACAATAACAAGGGAGGCGGTGGCCTTGGCGAAGAGCACGCTCTTCGGGGATCCAACCAAACATATCGAACGGATAGGCTACCAAACACACACACAAAACAATAAAAACAACAACAACAACTACAGCAACGACAAATACAACAACAAACCAAACCAACCAGAAGGTAACAGAATCATTATCAGCAGCAAAAACAAAAACCATAACAACAATATCAACAAA